ATCATAACTAAATCTGTACTCATAGAGCGTCTAGTGTTACAGTACATTTCGTAGGATAACTCATTACTATTTCGTTTTGAATTGATAAAATTCCAGTATATTTTAATATCATTACCAACAGGGCAACATTGGATTCAGTAAATCTAATGTAATCATTGTAATCTTGTTTTGAATTAAGTTTACATTGACAGCGCATATTAGAGAAATCAGAGTAGTTGCTAGAAGAACCACTAAATTTAAATCTGTTTTCAGTTTGATGTTTTTAATAGAGAATCTCGTTAACTATAAATGGTACGGAAAAATGGACCTTCTATCCTTGAACTCTTTTTTGGAGAAAATCTTAATGGCATTGTCAAAAATTGGCTATTGTCTTTTGTTTTCGAGTTATAAACGAAAGTAATTTTTTCAAATTTTCATTGTGGAATTATCTCGCTTATTTATAAAAGTGGAAGATAATAATTTATACTTTCTCCAGGCACTTTTTTGATAAAAATCTAGTGGCGTTGTCAATTTTTTTAAAAAATTCTTCAAATTCGAGTTAAAGCATAAAATTGTATTGTATATGGAACAGGTAGTTGGCTGTGGCCTGTGGCATCCAAAAAAGACAAAAATGTTCTCATCCTAACGATATATGTGGGGTCAGTTTATTCATTTTCATTGTTATTTAGCAAAAACTCATTATTTTCAAAATAATCTATAATACTATGTTGTTTTCTAGTAGGATTGTGCCATTCAGAATAATTCTGACAGAAGTATCGGCATTTTAATAAATTAAATTAAAGCAAAATAAAAAATTAATTTTAGTTTATTTTAAATTATTTTAATTTATTTTAATCATATCATATAATTATATAAATGAATCAAATTTATATGGGACCACCCCTGAGGTACTAACAAAAAAGAATCATATAAATCGGACAAGGTTGTAAAACATTATCGCTAAACATACATAAAAAATGAAGAGTTTGAGGATTTTCTCATCGATCCAATTATTAGATTTTGACCAAATATATATGGGACCACCCCTGAAGTACCCCCTTTCTAACAAAAAAAGAATCATTGAAATTGGACACCGTGTTGAAGAATTATCGCTGAACATACATAAAAAAAATATACGCGACGAATTGAGAACCTTTTTTGAAGTCGGTTAAAAATTTGAAATACTGCTACTGAGCATAAATAAATAATGACGTGTTTCAGTATTTTTAGTTTTCACATTTTAAGGGGGGAAATGGGAGTTTTTTATAGGTAGGATCTTGAAAATTAAAATTATAGCTACTCATGACAAATAAATAATGGTGTGTTTCAGGTTTTTGGATTTTCATATTTTAAGAGGAGAAATAGGGAAAATGGGGGTAAGAGGGGAAATGAAGGAAATAATGAAAATAGGGGAAATTGGGGAAATGGCGAAATGGAGAAAATGTGTGGGGAGTGAAAGTTTATATGGTAGGAAATTGAAAAATGGTATTGCAGGTACTCTTCATAAATAAATAGACATGTTTCAAAGTATTAGGATTTTACATATTAAGGGAGGAAACGAAAGGTGAAAGTTTGAACAGAACTTTCGGTTTTTTAATTGTAGAAATTTGAAAATTGGAATTGTAGCAACTCATCATAAGTAAATAATGACATATTTCAAGGTTTTTGGATTTTCACATTTTAAGGAGGAAAGAAAATGGGGAATATGGTAAAAATAAAAAACACAAAAAAATAAATAAAAGCAAAGAAAAATAAATAAAAATAAATTAAAAAAAATAAAAATAATTATAGCTACTCATCACAAATAAATAATGGTGTGTTTCGGGCTTTTGGATTTTCATATTTTAAGAGGGGAAAGAGGGAAAATGGGAGTAAGAGGGGAAATTAGGTAAAGAAGGAAAATGGGGGAAAGTGAGGAAATGTGTGGGGTGTGAAAGTTTGTATTCGCTCCGTGCGAAATCATGGAAAGGGAAGCAAAAGCGATACTAGCGCTAGCTACGGTTAATTCGTGCATTTTAGGGCGATATTTTGTAATTTTGGCATATCAAATACACGTATACATTTTACTTTTGTTCAAAAAAAGTAGGTAAAAACAATACAATAAGCAACCGGAGTTGCTGTGTTGAAAATTGTACAAATACTAGCAAAAAAACAGTGAAACTTATATAAAAAATTTCAGTAGCAAAGTGGAAATTAAATCAAAGAAATAAATGGATAGATATTCAATAAGAAGAAAAATTACCTTCATGTTTGTAATAATAACCGTAATGCTGCAAATAGTAGACATCAGAAACTTGAAAGGTTTTAAATAAACAATAAATTATCATTTTACCATGTTCTTTAATATCCCTTATTCTTAAATGTTCATTCAGCAAGGACTAGATTTCAATATTTCTGCCTTTGATTATTATATGTGGTTGGAACGCAATTTTGTAACTTACTGATGGGAAATCAGTTTTAATCATTCATTCTATGTTTTCTTTCGAACAAAAATGAAAATATAAATAATGATCCTTTTTTTATACATTTTAACTTCACGCTATTATTAAATGGTATTTTTTAATTTTGACAGAATAGACTAATTCTTCAATGAAAACTTATTAGACTTAGGCAACTTCTCATACATTTTCAAGTAAATACTGTTGCCTGCCTATATTTTATTATTGATTTTTATCGAATATACATAATTTTCATTAATTTAAGCGATAAAAATATATAATAATAAATAAATGTTTTACTTGTTTTACAAATCCATATACTTTTATTAAAACTACCATATATACTTTTTAATTACGAATTCTATTAAAAGTTGCATTTGTCAGTGTACGCAGAAATAGTCCATTAGTATCAAAACGAATTGGCGCTGCTGTCGCGCACGGAGCGAATACTAGGAACTTGAAACTTGGAATTGTAGGTACTCTTCACACATAAATAAACATGTTTCAAAGTATTTGGATTTTACTTTCGGTTTTTTAATTGTAGAAATTTGAAAATTGGAATTGTAGTTGCTCATCATAAGTAATGACGTATTTCAAGATTTTTGGATTTTCCCATTTCAAGGAGGAAAGAAAATGGGGTGGGGAGTATCGTAAAAAAAAAAAAAAAAAAACAAAAAAATAACTAAAAATAAATAATAAATAAAAATCTAAAGTAAATATTAGAAATTAATAGAATTTATTAAAAATTAAAAAAAATTAATAAAAATTATTAAAAATTTATCAAAAATTATTACACATTAATAAAAACTAATAAAAATTATTAAAAATTAATAATCATTCATTTTTTTAAATTATAAACACGACACCACGCTTGCAAAAGCTAGTAATAAATAAATAATAAAATGTGAACCCTAAGGCAGTGTTAAGCCTCTTGGTATTTTTAAATAAAAGTGTAGTGTACTTATGTAAAATTTAAAAATTGTCGTGCAGCGTTTTGCACAATAAATCGTTTTTTAAGAAGTTGCTGGAATTTCATTATCCGTATAAAAACATTTGGAGCTAGCACCGACAGGAGACAGTCCACTTGGTAAGCGAGCCTTAGAGCGCTTTCACACGAAGATACTGTATACGAGATACGCGTATCCGAGATTCAGGCTGACCATACATTCAAATGGACCTATTCACGCGGTACGGGCGACGCATACAGTATCGCGATACGGAATTTCTGTATCCCGGCACCGTCAGCCGCGGACGCTGAATGCGTGTTCCGTATACAGAATTACTATTACGATATATGGACCTTTTCAGACATGGATACTTTTGCAACGGAGATTATATCATGGGCGTAGGATTTTTCAATGGTAGGTACTTATCCTGAGTGCATTTAGTTTGATAGTTTAATTTATTTGAGAAAGGATTAAATTAGATGCACGAAGAGTTTTCTTTTAAATTATTTCACGAATAAAAAATTAGCCTAAACTACGGAATTTTTATATTCCTAGTAGTAATGTACTCTACAGATGCATTTGCGTGTCAAACTCGTACATTTTTCTTGATAAAACAAATTGAATTGGTTCCAAATTGATTTATGAGTTTTGACTGTATTGATTGGAATATTATTTCATCACCTACCGTATCTATATTGAAAATATCACAGGTATTACTTTTTCTTAATATACAGTGTTACACATAAAGTGCGCATCGTATGGGATTTTTCTTTCTAAATGATGTAGATACATTTTGACTTTGCCATTGTTTGTTCCTTCAAAAAATGATAAGCCAATAACATGCAAATGAAAAATCACCTGACTTTTCTAAATGTCAAAATTGACTTTTTTTGTAAAAAAAAGCAAAAAACCTATGCCTAAAAATTACTTATTTTTTACCCATATACCAATTTTCAACTTTTTTTTATTTTTTCTACCAATTCATTTTAAGGTTACTAGAATTTACACTAACCTGCATAAATTAATCTGTTTACGCGATGCGCTTCTTTTAACTGTTTTTTTGTTAAAAAATATTTTATACAACTAAACTCCATTAACCCAAAAGTGAATTGGTAGAAAATAAAAACTTGACACGGGCTATATATGGGTAAAAAATTATAAAATAAGTAACTTTTTGTTGAACAATTTTTCGAAATTGCCATTTTTGCAATTTTTAGGAAAAAATGTCATTTTAGACATTTAAAAAGGTCACGTGTATGTTCATTTGCATGTCATTCGTTATCATTTTTAAGGCAATAGAAGATGGCAAAGTCAAAATTTATCTACAGCATTTACAAAAAAAGTCTATACGATGTGCATTTTATGTGGGTCACTGTATTATATACCTCAGTATAATGCACTTTTCTAGACCCTTAATTCAAACCTAGGCACGCCACTTTGACCATTTTAGTACTGATTGTAGAGATGCATGAATTCGATACAGCAGCCCAACTTTTCGACCGCGATTCTGTATCTCGGATACGCGTATCTGGCATACAGTATCTCCGTGTGAAAGAGCTCTTAGGACCGAATTCATAATTTGTGTTTGGTTCAACTTTTAGTAAACTACAAATCCGATAGTTACTATAACACTCACCTCTTTACACGATTTGAACTCGTAGACATCGTCTACGGAAGTGGCAGAATTTACGGGGCCTCCAGTGGTTCCCGACGTCGGCCCCGAGGACGTCGCTGAACCAGAGGAACCCTTCAGGTCCATCGAATCGTCTTTATTGAGTTTTCCAGACGATGTGCCAGCGGAGGCACTGCTTCCAGCGCCCGCACTGTTGCCGCCACCACCCGAACTCGATGATGTGGATGAATCGCCAGTGCCGGAGCTGGTGATTTTTTTGTCATCCCTCGAAGTGCGCGATACTTGTCTAGAGCTTGAAGTAGAATCTGAAACAAAAAGAATAACATATTAGAATATCTATAATTTCTGTTATCTTTCTCATAAATTACTTCATTTTTAATTAAAAATGATATGATTAGAGGTCTCTAGTAACCCTGTTCTCTAACAGGTTCAGAGCTTCTTTAATTATTATGATTTTTGGGGATTCTAAGCTAGATTCTTAATATATTATAATTATTTAAGCAATAAAATAAAAAATTTCAAGATAGGTACATCTAGTAAATTCCGATTTTAATTAATTAGGATATCATAACCGATAAAAGAGATAAGCGAACAATATTTGCTAACTACACTTCCTAATATTGTACGTGTTAAAAATATTATATAATATATATTATATACCTAGACAGTAAAGTGACTGTTTTCCAGGCCAAGTAAAGATATGGACAGGCGAGGCGAAGTCGAGCCCCTGGACCCTTTGCGAAGCTTAGAAATCCACTTTACTGTCGTGGTTTACATACTATTTTTTATCCTGAAACAACAGAAAACTTTACCCTACACTAAAATGAAATTATTATTGCTACTTCAAAAAAAAATTAAATTTAAATAAGCAAGTCCGCATTAGTACCAAACACAAAAATGACAAATGTTTTAGAAAATAACACCAAATTGCTAGAAATTATTTATATACAGGGTGGCCACTTTTTTAATGGGATTGTATTAGTAATTTCCAAACCATACTAGTTGCCTATCTCGAAGCATAATCTAGCGGTGGAAATTAATCGAAAATAGCAAGCCCGGTTCTTGAGATATTCCGATAAAAGGAAATTCGATCTTTTCGGTTTTTTGGTTATCGTTAATTTATTTTCACAACTACTAAAAAATATTTCAAAGGTTTTCTATTTTACAGTAAATTTTCTCTTTGATTTGACGTTTTCATATTTTGCATCCAACGTTTCGTATTCTCCGGACCACCCTCAACTTATTTTTTTTTAATATGGACCTGAATATTTTGTAACATTATTTGAAATAACTTTTCATCCTGCATCCAGCGATGTATTACACAATGGCATTTAATGACTGTTTTTAGGTAATACGAGTATGGACCGTAATCCAAATTTTATTAAATTTACGCTTGGTTTCAGCCATTTTTAGTTGAATCAACATAATGTCATGCCTCTCGATAAAAAAATAAAGTCAATTCTTACAAAATTTATGTAATTCTCCAAAAATTAAACAATTCATCAACAACAACAATAGTAATGTAGAAATTTTAAAACGCAATTACTGATAATAACAAAAATAAATTCAGTTTTTGTAAGTCATAATCAAATTATTTGAAAACATCAATAATATTAATTGAATAATTGTTCAAAATGTCCGCCATCTTCTTCAATACACTTGACGATTCTGATATTCATATTTCTTATGCTATTGCTTATTTCTTCTTCTTGGATATCTTCCAATGCATCTTTAATCTTTTCGCGAAAACTCTCAATTGTTGCATTCAGTGTATTATACACTTTATTTTTAAGACGTCCCCACAAATAAAACTCTAATGGATTCAGATCTGGAGATCTGGCAGGCCACGCATCTGGACCTCTTGTTCGAATTCATGAATTGGGAAAAGTTTGATTTAAATAATCCGTGACCATTCTTGAATTGTGTGGACCAGTTGGAATCAGATTTGGTTAAGACGATACTGTATTGGAAGATCATCTAACATGTCCTGCAGTATATCTAAATATTTTTCTGCAGTAAGGTTTCCGTCAATAAAGTATGATCCCAGTAATTTATTATTCAACAAACCACACCACATATTCAAATAGAAACGATATTGATGACTCACTTCTTGAATTAGATGAGGATTTTCCGTGGCATAAAAATGTTTATTTCTTCGATCGAACATACCAGAATTTGTAAATGTTGTTTCGTCTCCCCAAATGATATTATGTGCAAAGTTGTTATTCATTCTTACCTTCGATTCTGTTTAAACCAATTACAAAATCGCAATCTTCTTTCAGGATCATTACGATATAGTTTTTGTACCGCTTGGTATTTGAAATCATGGTATCCGTGTCTCTTGACTGCCTTATTAACAGCACTTTTTGATAAATTACATTCACCTGCAATAGTCCTCAACCCAACTCCTGAATTTATTCGAATTTGAGCTAAGACATTAATATCGTTGAGTGGCTCCTTTCTTCAAACATACGGAACTCTAGGTTTATCAAATGTATTATGTTCGAGAAGAGTTGTAGACAAACGCCGAAAAGTTTTTATATTTGGTTGTATTCTGTCGGGATATACCTAAGTCCTCGTACCTTTGTTTCACTCGTACATATCTCGTTTTTCTTCTGCAGTGTATCTTACCATATTGAAGTTAGACTAGATACCAAGAAACACACAAAAAAACTTTCGAATAATGAGAAATTTTCGTAACGCAATAAAGGACAACATAATAATAATGTGACAGTTCTTGTAATATGGATTGTTTTCACGGTCTACTATATTTTATAATAAGTAAGATGATACTAGTTTAAAATCATATCAATGATGTGCCAGTAATAAAATAACCAATGATGATAATTAGATGGAAAAATAATTGAAATAAATAATTACATCTCAAAGCAGTAACATAAAAAAATTGATATTCTGGTAGGTATGTGTTGTCAAAAATGGAATCGGGAATATTTTTTAATTATTTATCTTATCAAAACATATTTTTTAATAGTCGAATAATTAAATAATTATTGATTCTCATTTATTTTTTCCTAATTAATTACTTTATGTTCGAAATATTATACACTTTGAAAAAATTAACACTGATTATAAATTCAATACAGATCCGTACCAATAAAATTTGGATTACGCTCCATATTACCCAAAAACAGTCATTGAATGCCATTGCGTAATACACCGCTGGATGCATGATGAAAAGTTATTTCAAATAATGTTATAAAATAACCAGGTCCATATTAAAAAAAAATAAGTTGAGGGTGGTCCGTAGAATACGAAACGTTGGATGCAAAATATGAAAACGTCAAATTAAAGCAAATTTGTTATCAAATAAAAAACTTAATATTTTTAGTAGTTCTGAAAATAAATGAACGATAACCAAAAAACCGAAAAGATCGAATTTCCTTTTATTGAAATATCTCAAGAACCGGGCCTGCTATTTCGGATTAATTTCCACCGCTAGATTATGCTTCGAGATAGGTAACTTTTTCTCCATTTAACCGACTTTCTAACTAGTATGGTTTAGAAATTACTAATACAATCCCATTAAAAAAGTGGCCACCCTGTATAATCTACTTGACGGAAACCCACAAAACATGTATGTGTAATGTGTGTTGCATCATGTGACCTATCTTTATAAATTATTAAAAAAAAATGACTACAACCACAATACACAAACTAACGGTATGTTCCTGCCACATACTTTGATTTTCTTTTACTATACGGAGAATGGTCGCACTGCGCAGCTTTCTGAGTGCCTTTTAAAAGAAGATAGAAAACTCCGCCATTTTGAACCCTTATTACGTGTTGCCTACATCTTGGCGCAATATTTTTAATAGGTGCGTTTTAATCATCCGCTTCTGCTTCGGAATTGTCGGTTTTCTTGTTTTAATCTGACAGGTTAAAACGACTAAACCGACAATTCCGAAAGCAGAAGCGGATGATTAAAACGCACCTGATATTTTGCTTGCTGCTGTCAGTGTCAGTGAATATTATTTTTGAAGTCACAGTTTATTGCTAAAGAATCAGTTAGCTCACTCGGACCAGTTGAAAGTTCCAAAATAACATCCACTCCAGGGATACAAATTCAGGATACGCAGAAGACTGCTGTTTTATTATAGGCGGTTGTCATGTATTGTATTACCCGAGTTGCACAGTGTATAAACTGAAACATTGAGATCCAAAGTGCCGACGCAGAGTGAGCGATCTGATTATTTAGCTGTAAACTGTGTCACAGGGTTCAAAATGGCCGCGCCCTATGTTAGGCGTGTCGGACCTCTCTCTTGCCTCGTATAGTAATCAAAGTATGTGGTTCCTGCGCATACAGCTGACTGACAGTGACGTCACGTGGGACAGAATTATTACCATTAAATGGGAGAAATAATACTAATAAAAATATTAAATTTTCTCATAAATTATAGGTATTTTGTGACAAAATCCATAACCTGACCATACGATAAGTAAAAAATATAGACTAAAATACAAGTTTGACTCAAATTTGTACTTTCTGGGCGTGCAATCTCTTTTCTTATTATGTGAAATAGAAATAAGTGTGCAGAAACAAATGCTTTATTCATAAAAAAAAGTACACAGAAAAAAATACTTTTTATTTGGTAAATTTAAACATTTTTTTGTTAAGTTTACTTTGAAAATACTCAAAACCAATTTTTCTGTTCATGTATCTTATTCTTATATATGTTCGTGTCCTGCTCATGCATAGTATTACTTCAAAAGGGACCAGTGTATCGAGACATGAAACTACTGTTTTATCTGCCAAAATTTTATAATGCCTACGTATTTTCTTTGCTTAATGAGGCCCAATGCACCTGGTAAAATTCAGTTTCCATTTTTTGCGTCTATGTTTAAGAGAAATTTCACAGCTACTTTCCTCAAAGTGTATAGGCCAACTTCATGCTAAATTAAAAAATATATATGTTTTTTTTTTATTTTAGCAACTTTTCACTGTCTCCAAACCTATACTTGTGCATTTTACTAACCACTGATTAAATTAAGTTTGTCCTTTCTTCGATAAGAATTTATCCACATTTTGTGGCATTCGGAAATATCTTACATTACACTATTTTTGGATTTCGTATTATGGTTTTTCCAAGTCGCCACCGCGCAGCCCGGCATTTTAAAAATTAATTCAGTTCTTTTCTGTTATATACAGGAAAATATGGTCACTATCAACACAAAAACACATAAATTATTACATTATTTTACAGTAAGTCAAAATAACTTGGAAACTTCGTCCCGCATTATGCAACTGCGCGGTTTGGACGAATTTTGAATCAAAAGTCCGCATACC